ATTTGGCAGATGACGTAATCACTGCCAAATAACTCGAGTTATTTGGCAAGCACTATCATAGTAAGCTGCCGGATAATTATTATTATTATAAATTTTTATGATACCACATATAATTTGATTTTGAGCGCTACATGCAGTACCGGGTGTGTCCCGATTTTTTAAATAGTGAAAAAAATTAAAAAATCACATGTATTTTACATCACATAATCGTATAAATAATATTTTAAAAAATTGATCTAAAATTATTTATCACGCATGGTAGTAAATCGCACGCCCAGTGACACAATCATGTAGATAATCTGATTACTATTAATCATTGTAATTAAATTTCTGGATATAAACGTACGTGGCTTTCATAAAATTATGCAATTAATAAATATTTTTTTCATTGTCCCATCATACATGCATGCGATGCATTTTAATAGGTTGCCTGTAACTCAAAAGGCGAAAAAATTTACCACGGACATTCGGACGTAAAACCACGTTTGTTCTAGTATTAGGATTAACATTTCTATCATTTTCTTACGTGTGACAAGTAAATCTGTGTTAAATAAATATTACACATATATGATTTATGTGTAACCAAATAAAACAAACGTAGACAATTATGTGTTGTCTGTTAAAAGTATTTTATAAAGAACTTTTATTTATCATTTAAAATTTGATTATTTTTTTTTTATTCGTAACACGCAGAACAAAAAGAGTGTTAGTATTCCATTATTGCAAATTAGAAATTCTAGAGTGTTTGATCTTGTCTGTTTCAACATTATTAGATGGAGTCTTGATCTTGTTTACTTCAACATAAATTAGTATTAGTATTTTACGTAAGTACATAAATACGTTAACCGCCGAAATTAGTTTCTAAAATGGTAATAATTAGTCAAAAATGATTAATAGATCTTTTTTTCGAGGAAATTTCCGTATGTGTTACATATCCCAAATAATCATACCCAAATAATCATCTTAAATAATCTTGTATTCAAGATTATGTTACACATGGTCAATAAATTCAAAGAATTTACAAATTTTCATATTTATTGGTTGTTTTCCTTCACTTTTAAAAAATTTGAGATTCTGGACGTAAATAGTTAATTCAAACTTTAAAAAAAACAAAAAAAAACAAAAAAAAAACAGGTTACGAATTATGCCATCGTTTCTAAATTATATTGACGAACAAAACATTAGAGTTATCAATTATGATGAATTTATTAATATATCAAAAATTAGTAAATCTGGAAAGGTTAAAAAGGCAAATTCGACAACCTTTGGTATTATCGCGTTAAAGAGACTAAATCTAGGATCGGGTTTAGATGAAAATAATTTTCGAGACTTGTCTATAAAGGTTCATTATTTTTATTTACTAATATTCGCAATAGTAATAATTATTCATATGTATGTAATAAACATGTTTTTTTTAATGATTTTTTTAAAAAAATTATATTGTAGATTAAACATTTATGTGATATAAAACCACATCATAATATTAATCAAATTTATGGGATAACCAAAGGTTAAATAATAAGTTGATATTTAATATTTGTTTAATTTAAAGTTAAAAATCTATTATATTTATTTATTTATTTAATATGTCAAAATTTAGATCCTAACGATGAACGTTGTTATTTGGTTCTTCAATATGCAAGTGGAGGAAATTTATATGAATATTTAAAAAAAAATTTCAGATCACTTAAATGGAATGATAAATTACGAATTGCAAAGGACATAGCGCAGGGTATTAAATACTTGCATGAAAATAATATTATTCACAGGGATCTTGTAAGAATAATTTATACTGTAATTATTATGACGTACGTTATTGCATTTCATTAATAATAAATGTTATTTCTTTAATAGAACTCAAAACATGTTTTAATTAATAATGGAGAAATGATGTTGTCCGGCTTTGGTTTATCAAAATTACTAAGTCAAGCAGAGATATCTACAAATGTTATGATTAAGGGATTACCTGCTTATATCGATCCGAAATGTTTAATCGATCCAAATTATGTTCGAGACGAAAAGTCTGACATCTACAGTTTGGGTGTTGTTCTCTGGGAAATTTCGAGTGGTTATCCGCCTTTTCAATCTTTGAAAACCAGGGATGCAATAACTTATCACATATTTAAAGGAATTAGAGAAACTCCTATAAAAAATACTCCTCAACAATATATTGATTTATATAAGCGTTGTTGGAATGCCGATCCTGTAATGCGTCCAGGACTTCAAGAAGTTTTTCATGTTTTAAATAGATTAATAGTTGAAAATTCGGATAAAGGTTCTATATCTGATTCTGAAAGTTTTCCTACTATTTATAGTTACCCTTTTGAAAGAACTTCTTCTTTACCCGATGAATTACTTGATGTAGATTCATTCATTATAACTCCTGAACATCTCTTATATATTTCTAGCTGGATAGATAATCTTTCAAAAAACATATTCCTTAGATTAATTCAACAAAAAAGATTTTATTCAGCAAAAAAGATTCCTTATGATTTCAAATTACTTTTAAGAGGAAGTCAAGATGGTTTTCTTGCAAAAACCTTTCATGAAAAATGTGATGGAAAAGGCCCAACACTAACAATTATAAAGGTTAAAGACACCGATGAAATTTTAGGTGGTTATAACCCAATAAGTTGGACTGGATCTATCGAACAAATTCATTCAATTAATAGTTTTATTTTTAAATTGGATTATGATAAACCTGCAAATTCAATTCTTAGTCGTGCTAAACCAAAAGAATTAACTGTTGAAACTGATGTAAGGATGGGTCCTCATTTTTGTAATGATTTATGTTTAATAGAAAATTTTAAAGATGAATGTAGATGTAAATGTCTTGTGAGTCATTATGAAAAACCAATTAGAGAAACTGTTGATCTTTTTTCAGTAGATGAATACGAAGTTTTTCAAGTAATTAAAAAAAAGTAATTATGCTTTTTTATACGTAAAAATATTGCATATATATATTTACAAATATATATTTTATAAGATAAATTTATATATTTTAAATTTTTGTTATGGGGGACGCTTAAGAATATATACAAATTGCTTTTAATAGTAATCAATTGTAACATATTTTTTTATATTGTGCTGCGCAGAAAATCTTGTTCTATATAAAATTTTACTAATAAAAGTCATGTAATTATAGTATTCTCTACCCTTAATTAAATTTGCTTTTGATTGAAAAAGTAAGTTTATAAATAAATTGATTTTTAAAAATACTTTTAACCAGTGATTCAAAATTACTGCGCTTTTCAAATTGCTGTGTTCATCAAATTTTATGCATCACACACCACACGGGAATCTGGGAATCTGGAATCTATAAAAAAAAATTTTTCAAAGCAGTAATGTCACATGTGTGACGGTAATATGATGCAATTAGTAATAAAGGGGTAGTAATAATTGCATAACAATGTAATAATAACTAATAGCGTTAGTATATTAAAAGAGAAAAGGAGATTTTTCCCTTTGCTTATCCTATTTCGTTCATTTTCTATAACCCTGCCCGTGACAAGTAAACCAATTTTTTTCCAAATCAATAAAACATAATGGCAGATGCTGCCAACACCAAACTTAAATATTACCGCGGCACCTGTTTTGGGATTGAACCTAGGTGTCGCACAAAAAATGCGCGGCAGATCCTCGATTTTGATTGGCTAAAATAAATTAAGCCGGAATTACTCATAATTTTACT